TATTATTAATTAATACAGTATTACAGCTGTATTGACTGTTTTGAATAGTAATAGTACTTATAGTAGTACTAGACTAAAGTCAGTTAAGATGGCAGATGAAAATGAAGCCTACAATCTGGCTCTACTTGACGATAATCTTGACGATAGTGATGTAATGAAATATGAATGATTACTATGTTATATGTATAATATTTAAAATAAAGTTATATATAAATCTTTAATATAATAGGACGACATGATCTCTGAGCCTCCAGTTATTCCAGTAGATGTAAGATCACCACCACCATCCAGAGGAGAGAGAAGACCACCACCTCCCATACCACCACCACCTCCCATACCGCCACCAAGGCGTCATGAGCATCCTGATGGGGAGTGGAGGGGATTGGGAGCTGACCGTGGAGGTCGTGGTCGGAGTGCAGCAGGGAGAGGACGTGGAGGTAGGGGGGCCAGAAGAGGTGGTGGCAGAGGTGACGGTGGGGGCCCTGGCAGAGGTGATGGGCACGGGCCTGACCATGACAGAGGTGGCTGTGGAGGGAGACCAGGGAGAGGAAGAGGCCGAGGATCAGGAGATAGGGGCAGGCCAGAAGGGGCCGTAAGAGAAAGGTGGCAAGGGTGGCAGTATTTTGGTAGCTCGTGGCAAAGAAGAGGAAGGGGACGGAGAGGAAGGGGCGGGAGAGGAAGGGGATGGTGGCAGGGACAGCAAACTGTAAATTGCCAAATAGAAAGGCTATTAGATATAATAGAACTTATCATTCTTAACAATAATAATCACTGAACAAATATTATTAACAACTATATACTGTATGTAACACTTATTTATTCGCCAATTATATATCCGAGACTATATCTATAGCTAAGTTAAGTTCACCACTGTAATTTAGGGCATGTGTGATGGCTTCACTAGTGGATCATGGGTCCCAACTATGAAATTCACTAGATTATAATTCCTTCAGTTTGTAATATCTTCCATAGCTTATAGCTGATATTCTAGAGTTCCTGCTATTATGCATGGATACAAAGCATAATATTTAATTATAATTTTACCTCTTGCATTTCACAGCTATCATTAGTTGGTATTAGCTCCTAGTGTGACTGATGTCAACTCTAATGCGTTATTTGGCTGCTAGAAAGTTGTCCTGATGCATCGTCCCAAATACAGTTCAGACTCGCCATTTTGTTTTTATTGACCACACCCAATTGATGTTGGCACGTGGGCGGATGGTGGCTAAGGTTGTTATTTCTCCAATACAACGTGTATAGAAGAAACGTAAGTGTGGACATACAAATATATATATATATATACAAACATCGCACGTGGGTGAAAACAATCTTAGGAATGACCTGGGCGCTACGCCCCCAGGTCGTTAAAAAAATTAAAAAAATATTTGGCTTTGTGCACCTTAATACACTGCACAAATGTGTATGTAGTCAAGATTACCTCAGATGCTATCAGATTCATTTTGTAGCGTAGATAACGCATAGTATTGATGTTATTAATGTCTACATGTAGTTTAGAATCCCTTCTAGCAAGCCTGCGGTGACTGGCTTGAGCAATGGGTTTATGCTACATGCACGCTGTGTGTATATGCAAATGAGGCAATGGACTGGGACAAAATCAACTTGATAGATGTCTAAGTACTACTCTAATAAATGAAACTAGTTGTTCTAAACAATACCAGCCCATTTTATGGTTCCTACTTTGCATAAAAAATTATTGAAAAATATTTTGGCTTTGTGCACCATAATACACTGCACAAGGATGTACGTAGTCAGGATTAGCTCAAATGATATCACATTCCCTTTGTAGCATTGATAACCATTAGTATTGATGTCCTCAATCTCTACATGTAGTTTAGAGTCCCTACTAGCAAGCCTGACATGACAGGCTCAGGCAATGGGTCTATGCTCTATGCACTGCTGTGTGTATATTCGATCGAAGCAATGGACTGGGAAAGAAATCAACTTGTGAGATGACAAAGTACTACTCTAATAAATAATGCTGGTTGTTCAAAACAATACTAGCCCATTTCATGGTCTCTATCTTGAATAAAAAAGATTTGAAAAAAATTTTGGCTTTGTGCACCATAATACACCACAGGTATATATATAGTCAGGGTTCGCTCAAATGCTATCAGATTCACTTTGTAGTGTCGATAACCAATGGTATTGATGTCATTAATGTGTACATGTAGGTTAGAGTCTCTACTTTCAAGACTGATGTGACAAACTTAGGCAGTGGGTCTAGGCTCTATGCACTGCGTGTGTATATTTGAACAAAAAATGGACTGGAATACTACTCTAAAAAAATAAAAATAATTGTTCCAAACAATACTAGCCCATTTCATTGTCCCTACCTTCAATCAAAAAATTAAAAAATATTTTGGCTTCATGCACCATGTTACACTGCACAAGTATGAATAAAGTTAGGGTTAGCTCAAATGCTATCAGATTTTCTTTGTAGTGTAGTTAACCGATGGTATTAATGTCATTAATGTGTACATGTAGTTTAGCATCTCCACTTTTAGGCCTCATGCGACCAACTTAGGAAATGGGTTTATGCTCTATGCACCGTTGTGTGAATATTCGAATTAAGCAATGGACTGGAAAGGAAATCAACTTGTCAGATTACAAAATACTACACAAAAAAACTGGTTGTTCAAAATAATACTAGCCCATTTCATGGTCCCTACCTTGAATTAAATAAATTTGAAAAATATTTTGGATTTTTGCACCATAATACACTGAACAGATATATGTAGTCAATCATATTCACTTTTTAGCGTAGATTACTAATGGTATTTATGTCGTAAATGTGTACATGTAGTCTAGAGTCTCCTCTTCTTAGCCTGATGCGACAAACTTAGGCAATTGATCTAGGCTCTATGCACTGCTGTGTGTATATATGAACGAAGCAATGGACCAATAAGGAAATCAACTTTTCAGATGTGACAATACTACTCTAAAAATAAAAATAGTTGTTTGAAACAATACTAGCCCATGTTATTGTCCCTACCTTCAAAAAAATTAAAAAATATTTTGGCATTGTGCACCACATTATACTGCACATGTATGTATTTAGTCAGGGTTAGCTAAAATGCTATCAGATTCACTTTGTAGCATAAATAACAAATGGTATTGATGTCAATAATGTGTACATATAGTTTAGAGTCTGTACTAGTAAGCCTTATGCGACCAACTTAGGTAAAGGGTCTATGCTCTATGCTCTGCTGTATGTATATTCGAATGAAGCAATGGACTGGGAAGGAAATGAACTTGTTAGATGTCAAAATACTACTCTAAACGAGTACCTAGTCCTCCCCTACGCAAAGCTGGGCGAGGCCAAAAATAAAACTAGTTGTTCTAAACAATACAGCCCATTTCATGGTCCTTGTCTTAAAATAAAATAAAAAATATTTGGCTTTGTGGACAATAATACACTGCACAAATGTGTAAGCAGTCAGGATTATCTCAGATGCTATCACATTTACTTTGTAGTGTAGATAACCCTTGGTATTGATGTTATTAATTTAGATATGTAGTTTAGAGTCCCTGCAAGCAAGTCTGAGGTGATAGGCTCAGGTAATGGGTCTATGCTCTATGCACTGCTGTGTGAATCAAGCGATGGATTTGGAAGGAAATCAACTTGTTAGATATCAAAAGACTATCCTAAAGAATAAAACTAGTTGTTCCAAACATTACCAGCCCACTTCATGCTCCCTATTTTTTATTTAAAAATAATTAAAAACATTTTAGCTTTGTGCTTGATAATACAGTGCACAAGTTTAATTTTGATTAATCTAAAATAAATTTTAATTCAAAATCAATTTTTGATGAATCATAAATAAGGAATACTGTTAATTGAAATTTTTATGAATCTATATTACCTTTAAGGTAGTCAAAACTATCAACCGCAGAGCATGAACAATTAATAGACCTATAATATCCACGATGGACTATAGACTATGGAATATTGACAAATTAACAAGTGTGAATTTTGGAGTGAGCCTCTGAGGTCCAAAGTCTCAGGGTTCCAAAAACTTTAACAACGAACCTTGAAAAAAATGAAAGTGGCACTTTAGTACGATGCAAGTTACATGCAATTAATTTCAATACACGATTGCTGTGTGATACATATGACTATGCATGAGTAGGTGTGGACCTTGCGTTCAGCCTCTGAGGTCCAAAGTGTTAAGGTTCTTCGCATACAAAGAACTTTAACTTACCGTATGGGGAATTTGCCCTTTAGTACTATTATACATACATGCAATGGATGTAAACATACTGGTGCAGCTGTGTATTTTTGCGAGTTTATATGAGTGCGGACTTTGCAGTGAGCCTCTAAGGTCCACAGTTTCATGGTACTTCAAAGTTGAAGAACTCTAACCAAGAATCTTAGAGTGGTGCTACAGTAAAATGCATAATTCATGCAATGGATGTAACTATATTGTTGCAGCTGTGTACACACAAGTATATATGAGCAAGTGAGGACCTTGGAATGAGCCTCTAAGGTCCAAAGTCTCAGTGTACTTTCGACACGAAGAACTGTAACCAAGAACATTAAAATATGTGGAAGTGGGAGTACAGTGCCATATTATACATGCATGGACCTTGGAGGGACGTTGGAGGGGTACGATGGACCTTAAAGGTGATAGAATCACCTTTATGGTCAAGATAATGGAAGGCTTACCTTATAACACTGGGTGGTTATTAGTACCAGGAAGCTTTCTTTATAAGAGAAAGCTTAAAGTCTTTGAACATTAACACAGGCAATTGTATGTAAAAGAGAATGCAATGAATCATGATTATGGAAGGAATGCATCTACTGAAGATATAATTGCAGATGCCTCAACTGACAAATGGAAATGTGGCTCAACAGACCACAGAAGGACATCCCACAAGAGTTGTTCACTGAGTAGAACCTGTGATACTGCTACTGGAATTGATACCTCCTGTGACATCAATACATCCAAATGTGATGACAATATATCTGAATATTATGATGATGACTATGACTTTGAAAGTTCCCTAAGTAATGAAATGGTTGTTGAATCGTGTGCATATCCAAATTTTCCATGTTACAAACGGAATTGCCCTGATAATGTAAGAAATAGGAAAAGCGCCATAGATAGCTCACTCACTCCTGCTGGTGCCTTGTGGACACCACCACTTAAGAAAATAGGTCTGTATTTACCAAGCGTCCCTTCTCCATTAGTTCTATCAAAAGTTATAGACCAAAGTACCCCTGCTCTTGGAAGTGTCATTGTGCCATGCAATGCATCAACTGCTGAAAAAGTAGGCTCTCCTACTGTATTCAATCTATCCTTTGTCCTTGGTAAAATGTTGGATATATCTGTATAAAAATGCTTTTCGCCATCCAACACTCCCATTTTACAACAAATTCCATGGCAAAGTATTCCAGTTGTGTTCATTTCACACCCTGTATCAACTGTTCATAAAGTAGGCTCTCACTCTATATGTACTCCAACTTCTATCGACAACATGCCAGAGGTACATGTATCTTTAAGTAAGTGCATTCACTGTCAATGACCCCGGTCCATCAATTTCGATTACGCAAAGTTCCCATTTAGCTGTGGCTGAAATAGCAGGTTCTCCTTCTGTACGTACTTTAATTTTGTTGCAGAATAAAAAGTGGGATTCCTCTGTACCAAGGTGCCTGCTGACCCCTGTACCATCCAAAAGTACTCCAACATCTATCCACAAGATGCGGGATGTAAAGGTATTGTGCCATCCTTCTTGTTGTTATAATTTTTAGGTGGTGTCATTGTGCCAGGATACAGTTGATATCTCATACTATTAGGATAGTTTGTCCTAGTGGGTGAGGAAAGTTAAACTAGATTTGGGTCTTCTGTATGCTTTTTTTATTGAAATTCAAGATCTTTGCTGAATATACTCAAGTAAGGAAGCAAAGAACATGAATAAATTTCTTTGTTATATTTCAAAGTGTCTACAGGTCCGGCAACCGGATGTACCTTGCGAGGCTACAGTTCTGGTAATTGCCCACATGGTGATATACGCATGCGCATTTGAAAATTTTACAACTTATGAAAATCCAGAGATTAAAATGGC